TCTTATTCATAAGCTCAGTCGCGTTCGGGATCTGACGTGTCACCATCTGCTTCTTCTTTTTTTCCTCCCACCCTCTTTGTGTGGTTTTGACACGTGTCTTTGTGAATGTTTGATAAGTTTTGTGATGGAATAGGCCGCTACGGCCGACTCTCACTTCGAATGTGCTACGAATGATGCATGGTCGATGTTTCGCTTTGTGTACTAACCATCTATTCAACGTAGGAACCACCGTAGGGATTGTACTACGTGTGTGTGACTCGTGACCAATTATCATTCAGTAAGCGTTTTTGGAGTTTGGGTTTTGTTTGTTCTGTTCTTACTGCTGCTGGAATTAACTTTTGTGATTCATTGATCGTGCCTTGACTTCCTTTTCTGATTGAGATGGCGGGTGCTCCGCCGAATCAGGGTTGTTTCACGTGTGGTTCTCTGCAACATTGGAACAAGGAGTGTCCTCAGCGCTATCGCGGTTCTCCGGCCACTGGCGCTAACGCCATTCCAATTGCGCCTCCGGTTCTAGCCTTGCCTGTGCCTGGAGGGGCTCAAGTCCCCGCTTCAAATCAAGTCGTTCCTACGACTGGTCTTGTTGCTACTAGCTATGGTTATCAGCCACGGCCTCGGAACAACTGGTGGAAAGAAAACCAGGAAAGGATGGATAAGGTTTACAATAAATTTATACGGGACGAAGAAAGTGAAAAGAAACGCAAGGAGCAAGAGGAGATAGAGAAGAAGAAAAAGGAGGAGGATGAGAAACGGAATGAGTGGAAGAAAGAAAGGGAGCAGTTGGAAGCCGAAATGGCTAGTCGCCTGAATAAGCGTTTTGAAGAATTTGGGTTAAAAAAGAAAGAACAACATATCGAAGTAAGGCAGTTTGATGAGATTGCGCGTTTAAAACGGGAGAATGAGGAGTTGCTTAGGAGAATCAACGGAAATGGTAACAACTGTGGTGATGAGGTGATACGTCTTCGGCGGGAGAGTGATGAGCTGAGAAGGAAAATGAATGGAGAAGGGAGTAGCTGTGGTAATGAGGGTGTTGTTGCACGACTTCAGGAAGAGATTTATGACTTGCGGAAGGCAATTGGGAGTAAGCAGTTGGACAACGATGAGATTTTCGCCCTCAAGCAAGAGATAGGTGAACTCAAGCAGTCTGCCTACATGAAGACAAATTTTGAACAGGAGATTGCCGGGTCGCGAAAGAAGATCGATGTGCTTCGTAAGCAGAACGAGAAGGCGATGGACGAGACAAGATTATGGAAGGATGAGGCCTTGAGGCCAGGTAATAAACGAGGGAGTGTTGTAGTCAACACACCAGGATTGCCGAATAGAGGTACTCCCAAGCCAAGGTGGACTGACAACATGAAAGACAACGAGCGATGGAAGGAGGAGTATAAGAAGCTTCAAAGCTTACATCGGATTGCAAATGTTGAGGCGGAACTATTAAAGGAGAAAAGAGTTCAAGCGGAAAGTAAGCGGATGGAGGCCGAAAAGCAAGTTAAAGAGCTGGAAGAAAAGATGAGCCGGTTGAATTTGGCTGGTGATGGAGAACGAGCTAAGGAAGGTGGCACTAATCTTAAGGAGAAACTAGAAGCATCAACGATTGGTTCAGCAAGACGTGGGCACAAAGTGACACCTGGGAGGAGTGTCACTGTGGGGGATAAGGCGACGACGCTTGCTGACGATGTGAATAACCGTTTTCTGTTCGTGGAGGAGCAGAAGAAGAACTTGCGGAACCTGAAGAAATCTGGTTTGGAACCAATGTGTAAAGAGGCGGGGATTCGTACTGGCAAGGTCGAACAAATGGTATGTGAGTTAGCGGAATTCCGTGCCGAGCAGGCTTTTGGTCTTATGAGAGCAAAAGATGGGACGACGAAGGGCAAGCAGCCTATCTACGATGTTGATGACGACTCTGAGCAGAAGGAAAGCAACAGTCAAGAGGAGGGGGATGCGAGATCTGTGGAGCTCTGAGGTGAGTCCCCGAGCGTGGCTAAACTATGGTGGCTGCTGAATGAATGTCGGACGAAGCGTGAGTGTTCAGGATTGGTGACTAGTACGAGTGATGGGATGACCGGCGTTACTTTGGGTTTTGTTGCTATTGTCTCTTCTGCTTCAGTTACGGATTCGTCTCTGTCCAGTTTCCCTTGCTCTTCGTCTCTGGCTAATGCTTCGCTGGGTGGGGTTTCCATTCTTAGGGATAAAGCTTTCAATAGTTTCTTTCGTTTGCTAGTCATTGGACTTATTCTTAGAGGCCAGATACCTTGGGCTGACAAGATTAAGGGTTACTTGTTAGATCTATTAGCGAGTGGATATGACCTCGAGAGGTGTGAGGGACCGGTTGTGTATGTTCTGATATTGCCATGGAACCGGCACATGTATGTTGGATCTACGACTAGGGACCTGCCGGTTAGATGGGGAGAGCACGTTTATTGGACGCTCAGTCTCGGTAGTCTTGATGGAGGACGTAGAAATCATAAGCTTTATGCTTGGCTAAGGCGAGGGAAGATCGGGGATTATGTGGCGATATCATTATTTCAGTGCAGGCATGATGACGTCCTATATTTGGAGAAGTATATTATTAAACTGCTAAGTCCGTACTTGAATAGCCGTGATGGCAGGAGGGCTAAGAAGAAACGCAAACGGATGGGTAAGCATGAAAGATTGAGAAAGAAAAAGAAGTTGGGTTTGGATCTTGATTCCGGTCTGGCGTCTACACATCTAACTTTCCGCTCAACTACTGGGGTTGTGACTTCCCGTCTGTCTCATATTCTCGATCATTCGTCCCGTCTTTCGTCAATCGGTATTCTGTGTACTGTGGGGGATCGGATTTCGGAGAACTGAAAAGTGGTGAAACGGAAATACAGTTCATCTCTGATCACGGTGAACGGCCATACTGAGCTATTGAGGAAAGGTAAAGGTATGCTCAGACCTGGTGCTTATGTCTTCGTGTCGGCGGTTGTTCTGTTTATGAGTCGGTCCCTCATCTTGAAACCTGCCCTAGCTGCTCTGCTGTCTAATCCGGCTACTAGGAAAGACCTGAGATCCTGGGATCTGTCTGTTTTGATATGTGCGTACTCTGCGGTCCAGAGTTTTTCGAAAAAAAAAACTTGATTCACCCTTAGGATGATTCTATCAGGTATAATTAAGAGGGAGTTTGGGATTAATGTTCGGCGCAGATTGCTGGTTAAGATCACTTATGACTCCTCTCTAAGTAAGCCGGGTATTCGGACCCTTTGTGCGCGCTGTGTCATGGGTGCCGAAGGTAATAAGGAATGGAAAAGAATGTTGACAAGGAGGATGCGGATTGTTTGGCTTAAAAACAAGAGCGTGGGCGACATCTTATGCAATTTTAGGGTGTTCGCAAGGTTGGGTGAGGCGCAATGTGTGTGTTCTGATCTTGGGAAGGAATTCCCGCGTATGGAGGGACACATATGCTTTCGGATGAATGAATTCTCGAGAGCACCACGTTCGATCATGAATAGCAGGAATGTGGTCCGTCCGTCGCAGGTGGATGTAAAAGGGCAGGTGAGGAAGCAGATCATTAAGTCCTTTGCTGAGTTTGGGTTGTCGGGGCTTACGTTACCTCGGTGGAATTTGGTTGACTGTGTGCATGAGGCAAATACGGTGGACGGTGAATGTTGTACGGAGGAGGAAGTCGTCAGGTGGAGGGGTTTGCTGGATGCGTTGGTTTTGGTACCCATCGACCACAACCCGGGGGATACATTGGCATGTTGCCCAATGAGGTACCGGGAGGGTATGGATACTCTGTTTCTGAATAACCCGGGATTCTGTCTCTGCGAGGAGAACGAGGGGTCTATATTGGGTAAGGCTAAGCAAGCATATGAAGGACGAGGTCTAGACAAGTTGGCAAAATGGGATTCGAAGGGAAGCATGGGTAAGGCTTACGCTATTCCTAAACACAAGGACGTTACTCGTTGGCGCTCAATCTGTCCCTCTTTCTCTGAGTGTAATGTGCATGGTTCTAGGAAGGTGTCCCGGTGCGTCAACACCATGGTGTGAGAGCTCCCTCGACGATGGAATTTCAACCTTAAGTGTACAAATATGTTGGTGAACACACTGGAAGATGTGAACAAGGATTGGGGTAAGGGAGAGGCTATGCTAACAACAACTTTTGATATTAAGGAGATGTTCTGCAATCTCCCTCACGGATCTATTATGAATGCTCTGCGTTGGATCATTGATTTTTGGGTAAGCCGAGGGATCCGTACTATTTTGCTAAAGAACCAGGGCAAGGAAGGTAAATTACGCACAGGGAACGCGCAGGAAGGATGGCAAACAGTGGAGTTTGATTTGATTCGGGATTTCCTGTATTTTGATCTGGAGCATACTTACACTGTGGCCTGCGGACGTGTGCTCAAGCAAATCATCGGTAGTCCGATGGGGAAGCCGTCTAGTCCTGCTATTGCCTGCCTTCTTTGTGCCTCTGCTGAATTTTCTTTGTTGGTCTCTCTAGGGTATGATCGTCGGTTGATTCATGGTGTTCGACTGATTGATGATGTGTCCGTCTTCGTGAGGTATAAGGAAGGCGATGAAAGTTCTTTGCTGAAGGCAAATGGGATATTGAGGAGTTTTGAGGAATGTTATGACGGCAATTTGAAACTGGAATGTACAAGTAAGGCTGACCAGTGGGATTTCCTGGGCTGCACTGTTCAGAATTTAGGACGAGAATTGGGTATCCGATGTTCGACTGTCCATAAGAATCAGAAGGATATTTTGACTAAAGGTATTTGTTTTCAGAGTATACAGGATAACTGCTCTTATGTGAGCAAACGACAGAAGATTGTTGTGGTGGGTTCCTTTCTGCATCGAGCCAAGCGATTCACTAGCACTCCTCTTGCGGAGGCGGTTTTTCTCTTGAGATTGAAGATTGAGCTGAGACTTCGAGGGTTCAAAGACGAAATTTTTGATTGCGCATTGACTAACTTCTCTCTAGAATTCGGAGAAATCTGGCATGATTGGGTCGTCTGTTTCACTGGATGGGATCAACGGTTCAAGGGGTGAGGGAGACGCAAACTGTTATTGGTACAGTGGCCTGATTTTGGGGAACTACTTCGGACAAAATGGGCTGAGGATAGATGTTCCGGGCCATGGGTGTGGGGCAGGGTTCCTAGAGGCAAGGAAGATGTGAACTGTTACTGTTTGAGGGGTTGTTCCGGGTCATGGGTGTGAGGTAGGGACCCTCTCCTTGGTTCGATCCCCGGACCTCTAGTACTGGGGTCTTTTGTGCGGCTGACTGGGACTTGGATTTTTTAGGGTCTAGCCTTTGTTGTTTTTCTTTTGTGTTTTGTTTTTGAAAATGCGCGGCTGATGGTACGTATGTAGAACGCTTCTTGGTTTAGGACGGACTCCTGATACGGCTTAACTTTGTGACTGTTGATCGCTGTAGGCTAGGACAGACTTCAGTGGATTGACTGGTCATCCGATCCATAGTGTTAAATTGAGGTGTTCGAGACGTCAACAGTACCATTCGCGAAGACCCCTGATGATTCCGATGCGGCGGCCGGATGAAACGCGTA